GGTTCACCAGGCGATTATATTTGCAGACAATAATAATATGGTGAACGAGCTGTTTGGGCAACGACATAGGTCTCTGCGATGCCGAAGTGAGAAGCAAACTCGCTCATTCTGTGTCCCAGGAATATGCACTCTAGTTTGGTGAATGAGGACGTGTCGTTCCGATTGGAAGGCGAATTGTGCTGACATAACAGAACCAAAATTGTGAAGAACGATCATGGTGATGATGACACCGATCGGCAGTTCCCAGGAATATGCACTCTAGTTTGGTGAATGAGGACGTGTCGTTCCGATTGGAAGGCGAATTGTGCTGACATAACAGAACCAAAATTGTGAAGAACGATCATGGTGATGATGACACCGATCGGCAGGCCACCTTTCCGTTTGAATTCTCCAACAGTCTCAATACTCAGGGTCTTTTTCCGCACGCCCTAATCCTAAAAATTAGATACATCCTGATGCGTGTACGGAATCGTATGAATGGGAACGACCTTTGCAACGACACGCCTATGATCGTGAGAGACCTGACTGCAAATGTCTTAATACTAGGGGAGTTTAAATGAAAAAGGGGTAACGGCTGTTACTCTTTGTCTAAGAGAAGGGACAAAAAGTCCCCATTTCATTCGAACGCCCATAGTAGTTGAGGTGATCATGGGTGCGCTTCGTGGCTGCGTTAACTTCCTGCCTAGACTTTTACTGGACAAGTCAACTCAAGTCACCATACCGTTCCCTCTTTGCCAACGTCAATTCCCTATCGAGCTTGCCTACGGTACGGCTATGAGCAAATTTCAGGGACAGACATTTGATGAAATCGGATTACTACTTACGGAGCCAGTATCCATGCATGACATTTGTTACGTTGTCTGCTCGCGAGTTCGCTCTGAGTATTTGCAGTAGATTCAGGTTATAGATGGACCAAAGCAGAGGAAAACTGATGCTGGCACCGTTACCGACAATGTGATCCTAAAAGAAGCACTTCTTTTCTTTGTCGAGTCCGTTTGTCGGGACTCTTTTTTTACATTATGATATGAATTTTCCGCTTCGTTCCCACGTGTGTCCCGTTTCCTGATATTTCATGGTTCCTTCCGTTTATATTTACTTTATTCATGTTGAATTAATTTTGGTTTTAATTTTCGCATAGTGACAGATGTAACACGCTGTGCTTCAGTATATCTTTCGTGCATATACTTGTATGTTCCATAATGAACTGTGTATCAAAGTTTTGGCAGCGGGAACTAGACTGAGACTATTCTTAGTTGATGAGCTTTGACAAAGAAGTGTTTGTACGGGATCTTCCGGCGATCAATATATCTAATTACGTATTATATATACTCCTATTAGACAGGCACAGTCCCACAGTAAGACCCCTTTGAGGAGGATCTACCTACTTGCTTAAAAGTACTCAGTCTACTGTTAGAAAAGCTTACGACCGGAGGCGATACTTCCTGAATAAAAAGTCCAAAAAAATCTTCAGATTTTCATCTAATAAGGCCTTATTTCGGCAATAATAATAGCATTATACCGAACGCTTTCCCGGGCTGCGTGCTCGCACATTATAACACATTCGACCTGAAACTCGATTGTCGATCGGACCTGTCCAAAAGTCGCTTTTTCCTCTGAGCTTCAAAACTGGAGGTCTCACATTTCGCATTCGCTCGCACACGACCGGAAACACGATTATCAGTTTCACTGCATGATTAATGTACGGGCCAGATCGTACAGGTCAGATCGGTTCCTTCGAGCCAAGGTCAAAATATTTCCCTATTCTACCCCGGCGTTCTTAGATGAAAACGACGGGTCACACTTTAAGACAACGAAGCGGAACTCGCTGAACAATTGCATGCAAGCGATTGGGATTTCACTAAAGACGAAATGATTGATGAAAAGCATGTCTGTTTGAATTCGAAAGTTGTGTCGCTTTAGAGTGCTACGAGACGGAACTCACGGAATAATGTTACAAAAGAGAAATTGGGAGTCTCTCATGACGGGAACGATCCTCCCTTTCTCAATCTCATTCCTGAGAGTTTCATATTCGTTCGGTGCGTCTGATTTTAATGATATGGGTATCTTTTGAAAGCTTATAACCTTTTGGCGATAAATATTGAGTCGAAACTTCAAAGAGTCATACCATTTTGTCATCATGGGGCCTAATTTCGGATAGAAGAATAGAGTAGTTGTGAATGCCTTCCTGGGAGAA